ATGGGAAACGGGAAAAGATAAAATTAATTGTAAATCAAATAAATTATTATTAATATCCGTAGCTCATGTATATAGACTGTTACCACATAATAGGACCTTCAGCTTTTACTATTCATTGGCCGTAGCTGGCCTTCAGTCTTACCGGACGAAAATGGGGTTGAATCCTTCGCATTCACCCCATTTCTGTACCACGGATGTCCACAATGACGTGATATGCGTAGCTCATGTATATAGACTGTTACCACATAATAGGACCTTCAGCTTTTGCTATTCATTAGCTGTAGCTGGCCTTCACAGTCTTAACGGATGAAAATGGAGTTGAATCTTTCGCATTCACCCACATTTCTGTACCACGGATGTCACATGATGACGTGATATCTGTAGCTCATGTATATAGGCTGTTACCACATAATAGGACCTTCAGCTTTCGCTATTCATTAGCCGTAGCTGGCCTTCAGTCTTACCGGAAGAAAATGGGGTTGAATTCCTCGCATTCACCCCATTTCTGTACCACGGATGTCCACAATGACGTCATATGCGTAGCTCATGTATATAGACTGTTACCACATAATAGGACCTTCAGCGTTTGCTATTCATTGGCCGTAGCTGGCCTTCAGTCTTACCGGATGAAAATGGGGTTGAATCTTTCGCATTCACCCACATTTCTATACCACGGATGTCACATGATGACGTGATATCTGTAGCTCATGTATATAGGCTGTTACCACATAATAGGACCTTCAGCGTTTGCTATTCATTGGCCGTAGCTGGCCTTCAGTCTTACCGGATGAAAATGGGGTTGAATCTTTCGCATTCACCCCCATTCTCTGACTTGTACTTCGAAGCCATGGAAGAACTTATAAAACACCTGAAGTTACCTCTTACATGAGTCAGCATCGTCAACTATGGATAACGTGGACTGTCATTTGATGATATTTAACTCCAATGCGGCAGCTGGCGAATATTTCGGGCGTTTGTCATCACTTGAGAATCAGTCACAAGTAGAATTGACACACAATTCTATTATATTTAATCTCATGACCCTTTGTTAGTCGAGGTAGTAAACCACTGGACCAGTACGTCATTTTAATAGTAGATTAATAACTTTTAAACTCATAACACGAGAACTACGTCAATATTGTACCTACACCAATAACCGCCATCGCTCAGGTGACAACGAATTTTAATAATTCAGGACATTTCGCTCCATCCCCACTGTCACAAGCAACATACTTAACATTAACAGCGCGAACTCACAAAGTCGACAAACGAAATAAATTCCGCATTATTGCGGACTTATCCGGATTAAACTGAATACGGAATGTCGGAGTGACAGCGCGGAATTACGGGTGCCTCGCGCTTGAAATTAAATGTGGTCGTGTGCCCGTAGGGTGGATATGAGGCCGATATTATTTTATTGGCCTCGTAATTCATGGAGTTTTTTTTTAGAAAAAATTTTACATTGTTCGCATTTCATAAATCGTTTCGTGGATGGAGTGATTGTTACTTATGCTGTAAATAATATAAATGACGTAGAAGAGTAACTTGAAACAGTCATGTTCGTTATAATGTAAGTTGGCCGGGTCAATATGCTCCCTCGAATATGGTTGCAATGATGGTTGGTTCATCCATCATGCTCATGAACGGTGCTGCTTGTGGGGTTCTATTCGGGTTATGAACACTGATTAGACTATTTGCTTTTGCAATGTCGTATGTTGGTGGTCAGCAAGGTGGACCGACGATCTGGTCAAGATCGCTGGAAGGCATTGGATGCGAGCAGCGCAGGACCGATCGTCGTGGAGATCTTTGGGAGAGGCCTATGTCCAGCAGTGGACGTCTTCCGGGCTGCGATGATGATGATGATGATGATCAATCTGGGTGGTTTCCTATGTATATTCTGTATGTATTTATAAAAATATTTATATCAGTTGTCTAATAGCCATAACTCAAGCTCTTTTTACAGTGGGACTAGATGACGTTGTGTGAATTCTCCAGAGGTATTGTATGACAGAGAGAGAAACTCCGAGCAGTCCCCGGGACTTGTGACCCGGGCGTAGGTTTAAGGTGTGGTCACTATATTCTCCCAAATTTTAATTTAAGTCGTGTAGGGATGGGTATTTCAGCCAATTTTATTCCAGTTGCTTAAAAAAGTAGCCTTACCAAAATAGACTTTGTGCAAAGTCCGAGTCTCTGAGGGTATTTTTGTCTCAGAGTATACCTAAGACGCATACCTCTAGATTGACAAGCTATGAGTGTCACAAGATTATGTGATGTTTGTAATTATGATTCTATTCATGTATATTCATGAGGTTTGCCATCTACCGTCGGTAGTTCAGCCATTAACTTGTTTGCTGGTATATACAAACAAATTTATATCAATTTGACCGTTATTCAGGGAAAAAATATAGGTTTATTTTAAACTCTTTTTTTAAGCCTACCCAATTTTAAACATAAGAAAACAATCTAAGTAATTCTAAAACTTTCTAGAAACTCATCGAGGTTAATCAATCAAAAGCCATCATCTTAATGTTTATCTAAAAGTTTTGTCTTCAACAGTTACTTGGTAAACAGAAAGTTTGCTATTTTAACAATTTTTAAATTTTCGTATCCGAAAAATTAACACTTTGTTATCACGATTACGCTGTCCATTTATTCATCCTATGTCTATCGGATGCTTCTATGTTAAAAATATATTATAATATAATATATACGAATCGACGAACTCGGTGGTCTAGCGGTCTAGCACATCGCTTTACGTCCGATGGTCGCGGGTTCGATTCCTCGCACGGCACAAACATTTGTATTCATGAGTATGATTGTTTGTATCGGTCTGGGTGTTTGCTATGTATAACATGTCTAGTGCCCATAACACAAGCTTTAGATTGCTTAACTTAGGACTAGATGGCGCTGTGTGGATTGTACTGAGATTATTATATTATAAATTCAGAAGTGTGTTTGTTTGTCTGTCGATTACTCTTTCATGACTAAAAATCAGCACTGATATTAATGAAATTTGACTGAAATTATATAGTAGCCTCAGGATCGGATATAGGTCATAATATATCTCAAAAATATAGATAAAGTTTATATAATTATATTTTCTTAATTAATTAAATCTTATTATATAATTATATTTTCTTCACTGTTTATCTATACATATAAATAAAATTGGAGTGTCTGTTTGTAAATTGAAATAACTTTTTTTACATTTTTTGTCTGCCTTATTGTCTGCTTGTTCCGGCTAATCTCTGAAATGGCTGGACTGATTTTGACGGGACTTTTTTTGGCACGTAGCTGGTGTAATAAAGAGTAACTTAGGCTACTTTTATTTTAGAAAAATTCTTTTATTAAAAAAAAATAAAGTCAAATTCCACGCGAACAAAGTTGCGGGAACAGCTACTATACAATATTTGTGTTCACTTTTTAATACATAATTTTTTTAGGTTTCTAGTATTAATACAAATTAGTTTTAATATATGTAGGAATTGTAGTTAATAAATAATGCATGATTTCTGCAGCATAATATAAATACAGTAATTTGTGGTTAACGTAGTGACACATTCGCTAAAAATTATTATAGTATAACAAAATAGCTTTAAGCCAGATGTAAAATGTGTAACTGTTTGTTAACCTAAATAAATTAAAAACACATGCCAGCAAAAGCCCACATTACTAACAATACCCAAAAATAGCACTAAGAATAAATGCGTAGCGGTTTCTATGTTGATTATCGCATGCCTCTTACTTGTTATTCTGTAATTATTTATATAAAAAAACATATATTGAAAAGAGCGACACACAAGTTTCTTGCTCATTCTTCTTGTGATGAATCTGCGTTCCGAATGAGTGGTAGAATCTACATATGACTATTCAAAAGTGCTTGTAATGAGTTTATTTGAATAAAGATTATTTCTATTTCTATTTCATAATATTAAGTAACAGCAGTATGTATTTAAACCATTGGTATACTAAATACGTCACTCTACTGGAAACGCTTTTGACCATTAACAAATAATAGTGTATGCAGAAATGTGCTTCAAATAAACCGAATTGGAATAGACTTGTGTTGTATAATCAACTGAGTATGCTCCGTTTTGATATGTCTCAAAGCTAGCACACATTTGGTAGTGAATTAAATTCCGCAACATCCGAACTGTCCTGAATCATCATCATCTGCTTCTTCCTTATCCCATATATTTGTGGTCGGCGTAATATGTTTTTCTCTTCCATTCATCCCTGTTCGCAGTCATCTCGTTATTTACTTCCTTTCTTACCATATCATCTTTCACACAGTCCATCCATCTCTTTTTTGGCCTTCCTCTGCCCTTATAACCATCCACATTCATTTGTAACATCTTTCTTAAAATATTATCCGGACTGTCCTGAATGTTGAACAATTAATTCGCATGGTCACCCTAGTACGTTATCAGCAGTTGCTTTTTGGTTGTGTTAAATTTTAACGTTTGTTCAACTGGTAATTATTGAGTGATATTTTAATTTACTTATATATAGATCTACTTGTATGAAAGTGTTGTATATGATGGATTTTAATGGAACAAGGAAGTTATCACTTCATAGGTCAATTTAAGAGAAGGATATTAACTGGCCAATTGGCTTGGTGTAGTCTTCTATGAAAATTAATAACAGTTAACTGGGCATAATAACTGTGGATTTAAATTATATGTATTATGTTAAGCAGAAGACTTTTTACTCTTTTGCACACTGCCTTACTTCCGATGGTCGCAGGTTCGATCCTCACACGGTACAAACATTGGTATTCATGAGTATGATTGTATGTATTAGTCTCAGTGTTTTCTATGTATACAAAAATATAAAAAAATCTAAGTATTTATATCAGTTATTTAGTACCCATAACACAAGCTCTGCTTACCGTGGGACTAGATGGCACTGTGTTAATTGTCCAGTGTTATTTATTTATTTATAGTCGAATTTCGACTACTGGGCGACCACTAGTTAATGTTTTTTTTTTATTGCCGTAGGATAAAATTCGAAGCATCTTCAGATGATGACTACGCAGACTTCACATGCGAAGCAAGGCACGAAGCACTTCAACGGGACTCGCCGATGCGAAGCACTGTACAGCTGAGTGTATTATGTAAGTATTTAGTGTTTTTTTTTATATTTATAGCATAATAATGCAACCAAACTGTATTAGCATCAATAGCCATACGAGCGTCCAATAATTACGTACAAGCACGTCGAAGGCACTTCTTTGATGTTCCTTGGAGAAGAACAGAGCTGGTCCGGCAGGCTCCCATTACTCTTGCACTGAGTCTACTCAACAGTGTCGTTAAACGATTTCCTGACCTGGACATATTTCCATGTGACTTGTTGAATTTTAAAACAATGACAATGGATTTTCTAAATAACACGTAAATTTTAATAATAATAATAATAATCTTTATTAAATTCAGAAGGATCGTTACAATATTATTTATACAATAGATACACATTCCAGACAATATCAATCCTTTCAGTATTTATGTGTAGTCCTGGCTTCTGAACTAGCATTAGCCGTATGACAGAAGCCAGTTCCTTCCCAATACATGTACTTTTATTATAGAAGGATGAAGATTATTATAACATGATATATATAATAATAATAATAATAATATATATAATTGGCGGTTATTATTGTTTTAATATATATTTTTTGTGTAATTATTAATATTTCGTATTTTGTAAATTTTTTCCTAAGCGAGCATATTGGGGAGCTGTAAGGCTCGCTTATATTGAAGTCAATATATAAATAAATAGTCTAATGGCCCGTAAGATGATAATAATAATAATAATAATAATAATCGTTATATATACGGTGAACACTTATCCCAAAAAGCTGCCATCTTAGCAACATCTCAGACGGTTGTTCCGAAAATTTCTCGAAATCGATGAAAATTATATAACACCAGTCTCTTAGACACAATGCACACACACTCACACATTTCTCTCACGCGCACACACACCCGGCACACATCTGCCGGGGGTATACTTGGTTCTCCTCTCCTTAATAGGGAGATGACCAGCAATAGCTGAGAAAAACTAAAGAACAATAATAATAATAATGGTTGTGATGTTGATGGTTGTGGACGTATTCATAACCCATTATTGCGCTCTACATCCACACCTTCCATACATCATATTGTCAATGAGGTTTCTCTTTTGCATTCTAATGAAACTGATTTGAAAAATAAAGTCATAGTAACTAACACTTATTCACACAACAGCAGCACATTGGAACATAATCAAGTATTTCTAAAAATTGTTCCGATAGATGTAAGTTCACAGTCCCGTCCTCGGTACTAATCACCAGTTTAAGCTGTGAAAAAGAGATAATAATAATAATAATAATTCAGATAAATTATTAATTATAATATAATTCGAACTTTATTTAATATGTTGAATTTTAAATATTTTATTTTTTCATCTTTTGGAGATTTTAACATAATAGTTTTAATTGCACAGTAAAATACTAGCTATGCAATTGTTGGGTTGACTGGTAGAGATCTCTCTTAGAGATAAGTCCACCTTTGCTCACTTTGTATATATTTAAGTTTAGAACTGTATTTAAAAGTGCAATAAAGAATATATAAATAAAATTTTAAAATTCAGGATCTTGCAATAGAGGTAAAAACACAATGGTGAGCTGAAACTGTACATACTGTACCTATTGTACTTTCTACTACGAGTATTGTACCTAAAACACTTGAAAATAGTTTGCAAACATTAAATGTTCACCCTTGTAAAACATATCTCCTACAAAATGCCAAAATACTAAATACCTGTAGCATAACTCGAAAATTTTTGACTTCCCCAAGAATATCTTCACACAGCACAACATTCCACACTTGGCTAAGGCCCTTGTAGGTGAGTATTACCTTCTTTTAAATCCATAAAAGAAGAGAAAAAAAAGAAAAAATAATAATAATAATAATAATCTCAGGACAATTCTCACAGCGCCATCTAGACCCAAGTTAAGCTAGCTAGAGCTTGTGTTATGGGTACTAGATAACTGATACATATTTAGATTATCTTCTTTTAAATTTGTAAAAGAAGAACGAAAAAAGAGAAAAAATAAAAATAATAATAATCATTTTTATTTGTCTCAAACAAAAACTAATACAATTGTTGCACATACAATAATAAAATTTAAAAGTAATGAATGAGACAAAACGTAATGAATGAGACAAAATTCTGTTATAGACTTTATCAGTAAAATACAATGTGAGATCTACGACGACGATAGCATATTAAGTTTTAAACTTCTTCTTCTTCTTCTTTGTCAAGACTGAGGGTCCTCCACCCAATACTCTCTCTCTGTGCTAAATGGACCGCCGACTGTATATTTTGTTTGACTTCTGTTCATAACGCCTTTATCCACGTGGCCCAACATTATATTTTTTTCAAAATTATCTGTGAGATCAAAAAAGTTAGCGACGTCGAGAGAGGGTATATCCAGTTGTTCCAAAACAGATATTAAGTTTTATTCCTAACATCTTGCGCCAACAACATCTCGACAAAGTAATCATAAAAAGTAATCATAAAAATTTACAATAACAAATTTAAATATATATAAAATTAAGTAAATATGAGTTAAATAGTTTCAGGCCATGAAAGACATTACATTTCTATTACAAATTGTTATCCGGTGACGTGGTCCACAAAACTACAAAAGATGCTTCCATCCAGCAAGGTGACATCTGTCCATCGAGCTATGTACCCTGCCCATTGCCACTTCAGTTTCGCAATCCTACGGGCTATGTCGGTCACTCTGGTTTTTCTGCGGATCTCCTCATTTCTCGATCATGTACTCTTTAAATTCAGCACCACGAATCTATAGATACAACGGTCAATAACCCATGAAAATTTCGCCTCCACACATAACACGTGGTGTAATTGTAACAAGTCACCCGCGTCGTTGATATTTTCGTAATAGTTACATCAATTTAGATCGTTCCCACATGCCGAGTTACCGATATAGAGCGAATTGATAAAGTAGAATTATACTTCATACTAGGTTTACACGCGATTTCGTCCGCTTGGAATTTAACTTTATTTTACTAAAATAAAAGAATTTTTTTAAAATAAAAGTAGCTTAAGTTCTTATTACATCAGCTACCTACCAATAAAAGTCCCGTCAAAATCGGTCCAGCCATTTCAGAGATTAGCCAACAGACAGCCATTAACCAGCAAACAGACAGACAGGCAAAAATTGTAAAAAGTGTTATTTTGGTGTATGTATTTATATTCAAATGCATGTAGTAAAAAACGGTTATTTCAATATTACAAACAGACACTCCAATTTTATTTATATACATAGATTATGTACTATTTGATGCTGCAATTGAAGTAAGATGTACCACACTGTGAAATAGATATTATTGGGGAGAATAAAATAGACTATCATTACAGAAATCAAATGTTTATTTTTACCGAGACAGACTTTATATTGCGAAAAGAAATGAGTTGCTAACTTAACAAAATTGACGTTCATAAGCGGCTAAAATGATTACATTAATGATTTTTTAATTTGAATCTGAATTTCTAAAAAGTGGCCTGCATATTTAAAATGTGGATAAAAGGTCTGTCGATACAAACTGTCAAATCAAATCAAATTCAAAATATCTTTATTCATGTAGGTCTATTACAGACTCTTATGATATGTCAAATCTACCGTCAGTTCGGAATGCTTTCGAGATGAGACGAACTGACAAGAAACTCGGCATTATTCTTTTCAAATATGATTGTACATGTTTCCAATAAAATAAAAAATAAATTTCGAAGACTATAGTGACCATCATCATATGTGACAGCAAATTTTGTAAAAAGCAAATAGTCTAATCATTGTTCGTCTAACATTACATACTTACAATAGAGAATATTTTCCATTTAAAACAATATATTTTCGAATCTTCGATACCTAACTCGCGAAATGGTAATGCAGACCAAAAATACTATAAAAACGTAACCATTCTTGACGTGTACCATCGAATTATAGCAGTTATGTTGTCGGAATCCCTTATCTTAAGAGTAATTGCTCGACATCCCTGAGTGAGGTTAAGTGTTTCACATCATTACCGTAAAAAGCTGGTACGGTAATGACCCGGGTTGTTTTAGAGTTATGTTAAAGCTAAGTGAAATACATTTAATGGTAATAAAAATTGAAATGCAATATCAATTCTACTAGTTCAGTTGTATTAAGGCCTCGCTGGTCTAGCACACCTCTTTACTTCCGATGGTCGCGGGTTCGATTCCTCGCACGGCACAAATATTTGTATTCATGAGTATGATTGTTTATGTCGGTCTCTGTGTTTTCTACGTATAATATGTATGTATTTACGAAAAAAACGTATCTATGTATTTGTATCAGTTATATAGTGCCCATAACACAAGATTTAGCTATCGCTGTGTGAATTGTCCTGGGATTATTATTATTATTATCGTTGTTGTCTCTTTAACTCAGCTTTATTATTATTATTACGGCCTCGGTGATCTAACGGTTTACCACATCGCCTTACTTCCTGTATGTTTCATTACTTCCTAAATAATTTTTGGTTGCTTGATACTGGTGACATACTATCCAATACGTTTAATTTCTTTTCTTATTCTTTCTTCTTTTATCATTTATATTTATTTTATTATATCAATTGGTAATCTTTATATATAAAAATTACGAGTCACGTTGTTTGTCCGCGATGGATTCCTAAACTACTGTACCGATTGCAAATTTGATTTGTGTGTGCAATTTGATCTACATAAATTAAAAGATAGGATATCTTATATCTCAATTTGTAATCGCAATATTATTTTATTCAAGAACCTTGGCAAACAACAACGCTTGACCGAGTCTTCTAGTTTTCTGTATATTTTATGTTATATCTATATTTCTGTTATTGTCTCTGGGCAGTCCCTGAAAATCAGTGGTTTGATGCTTGTATGCTGCAAAAAATACACTGAGGTGCTGCCTTTTTGCGTATGGGCTATGCACACACACTACGTCACTAACACCGTTTTTTTTTGTATCCGTATTGTATTGTATCTTGTTGACTGACCAATGTAACTGTGTTTTTTTATTTTTGGTATCACTATTACAGTGTC